GAGGTGTGTGTGTGTGTGTGTGTGTGTGTGTGTGTGTGTGTGTTTTCCTCCATCAACACAAATCTCTGTTGTGTCATTTCTCTCCACCTTCGATGACACATCACTTTGTGGAGGTAAAATGCAGCCGAGAGAGAGAGAGAGAGAGAGAGTGTGTGGGGGTGGGGGGGGAGGTAATGGTCTGAATCTATAGGAACAATGTCTGGGGATGCCCCCGCCCCCCCAGTCCCTCAGCGCTCCCTCTTGTTGCCCCCGTCTTTCCCTCGGCGGCGGCGGCGGCGGCGGCGTCTGTCTGTCACTCTGATTAGAGACGGACAGAGTCACGATGAACACCGTGAGAGAGTTGATGATGATGTGGAACCAATAGGACGAGGCGGCTCTGTCCGATACATCACGTGGTTGGAGAGCTCACAGTATCGAGGAGTAAAGAGGTGAGACGGTGTCGGCCGGACCGACCAATCAGAAGTCTCGAATCAACCAGTGAATATTTGAACGAGAGTCCTCAAATAAACGTCTAAAATACTAAAGTAGTAAATATATAATGACAACATTTGTGTAGAGACGTTGATGACGACACTCAACTCACCGTACGATATGATTCACGATTCTTTCTTCACCATACGATTTTTTCTTAAACAAAAGACTAATTCTGACCATCTCCATTGATCTGCTCTGGTTAAACTGGTCAAACTGGTCTGGTCTGGTTGACCTGGTTAACTGTCCATACATGAAACAACAGGAAGTGGAGAGAGTTCCACTGGAGAACACTGTTGGTGTCTGTGGAACAAGTTCATCCCACGTTCTGTTCCAACACCTGAACGTCTCTCAGCCTACGTAGGACCTGACGTCTGGGTTTGATAGTGGGTTTTTAGGAGCATACTGCCACCTACTGCAGTGGAGTGGGTAGTGTCATGGTCTGACCAGTAATTCCTTACAATTACGATTCATTTTTTTATTTCAACCAATGAGAATCGTCACAGACTTGTATGGATTTGAACCCATGTGTAAGGATGTAATTATATATGATGCCCCCTGCTGGTGGTTGGAGAGAAACCGTCTTCCACTGAACTGGACAGTGGAGACGGTTCAGACCGTGGACCTCCTGTAGAGTCACGTCTTCAGTTCAGCCTCCTCCACCTCCTCTCTGCTCCTTCCTGTCGGCTGCTTCTACAGAAGACCAGTTTCATCAGCTCTTGTGACTTAAGTTGTTGTTGGTGTTGAAACAGTCCTCGTTGGTCACATGGTCGTCCTGTAATCCAGCACAGACGCAGTTCAGAGAGTTAGAAAAGAGTCGTGACAAATCTATATCCTATAATAACTGCTGGAGGGGGAGTGATGGGGGAGAGAGGATGAAGGGTGAGGAGAAGAGGAGGTGTGAGAGTGGAGGAGGGCAGGTGGACATGAGGAGAGATGAGTGGTCAAAGAAGACACTAGTGAGAGGACAGGAGGAGGAGGAGGACATGAGGAGGCAGGAGTGTGTGGACAGAACCCTCCCCCACCTCCCCCCCTCTCCCCCGTGTTTATCAGAGCTCAGAATGTACTGTGCTTCAGATTTGTCTGTAAATGTCATCTCCTGTACTTGACTAACAATAGATCACACACACACACACACACACACACACACACACAACGCTGCAGCTTTTCCTCCTGTCCTTCCTTTGATTACCCCCCTCCCCCTCACTCTCCCCCTCCCCTACATCAGGACCACAGACATGGAGGAAGAACAGACTTACAGTGAGGTAAACACACGTCTGACCCTGTGAAGGACTCAGAGGTCAGAGGTCGGGGGGGGGTCGACGTCGCTGATACTAAACACAACCAGGTCACAAATGCACAACAACAACCTCACCCCCTGGGTCTCCTGCAGCTGGAGTCAGTGGGCAGAGGAGGCAGAGGAGGAGATGCACTTCACCTCCCACCTGTGACGCCTCACCCGTTCTCACGGCTTCACACCAGCGACACATGAGGAAACAGGTCGTCCCACGACCGATGGTACTGTTTCTGGTACTGGTGATGGTCGCAGGTTTGAATCCACCATCCACTGCACCCTCGCCCCCCCTGCCCCCCCGACCATGGCGTCAGTAGAATCAAACAGGCGTGGAGCAGTGAACGGTGATGAACACACACTCCTCCTTTTACAAAATATTTCTTTGTTTTGTTTTTAAAGTTGTTTAAAAAAATAAAAGTTGTTAAATGACTTTTATTAATGGGAAGAGAATCACTTCCTGTTTGGTCACCAGGACAGGAAGTCCACATCATGATGATTGTCTTTTTTTTTTTACTCTTTCTGACCTAGATACTGAGGGGAATCGAACCTGGAACCTTCTGCACGACAAGTAACGTATACACAGCAGTGACATAATAATAAACAAACACTGACGTCATCATTATTATCATTCATCAAAAACAACAGTCGGCTGTGGTCACATCAGTGACTCTTAACATCAGTATTTCAACGACCTGAAGCAGTGACGTCACTGACGCGTAAGGACAGAAGGTCGTTGGTTCTAATGACCAAATTATTTCATTTAGTTTCATCAAAATGTCGCTGTTTTTACGGTGAATCGCTCAGAAAAGTAGCGTCTAAAAAACTCCCTTCGCTCCGTCACAGAGATGAACACGAGTGGAGCAGAGGTTCCCTGTTCCCAGGCTAACGCTTCCGTGTAAAATTCACCCGTGTAACGAGTGTAATTATGCGGCCATAACAGCCCCACCAGGGCACAATCACCGCCGACTGACGTCTGATGCTCTCGCGCCGCTCTCGAATCGCTCCACGCGGATGTGACGTTGAACGGCCGCGAGGCTGTGGTGGTTTCCCGGGCAACGCCGCGTGCTGCAGTGACGCCAGCGCAGGCTCGTGGGCGTGGGCGTGGCTTGTTTGACTGGCCACACGCTTCTCTGCCACCAGTGTGGGCGTGGTCACGTCAGGAGAGAGAGAGAAACACGACACCCGGAGGACGGAGAGAAAAGAGGCGGGGGAGAGGGGGAGGAGAGAGGCGGGGGAGACGGGGAGGAGAGCGAGAGAGGGAGGGAAGCGTTGAGCAGTGTGAGAGTGAGTGAAGGACTAAAAAAGTCTGTAGAGAAAGAAAGGCTTTTTCTCTCAGACGTTAATTTGTGTCAAAGTGGTGAAGAAGCTTCTAGACGCGGAGTTGTTGAGCGGGAACAGGATGAGGCCGAGACGGAGCGAGCGACCGACCGGACAGTTGAAGTGACCCGGAGAACTTGTTGGAGGAGAGAAAGGCTTCCTGGCTGACTTCGCTCGGGACCCATCTTTGTCGATTCATCTGTTTTCGCTTCGGCTTCAGAGTCAAATTTAACGCTGCTGTTTACGAGACGACGACGCCGGAGCAGAGTGACCGCCTGAGACCGGCGGTAGGAGAGCGTCTCGGTCGGTTCTGGAGAGGAGAGAACCGGTGGTGAAGCGGAGAGGAGCGAGGGGAGAGGAGTGAGACACCGACGCTGCAGCTACAAAACTTTGTCGTGCGTGTTTTCGCAGTTTTCCAGGTTGGGAAGTAGAGGCAAAGAACGAGGCCGAGAATCGCGACTGTTTCCTCCCAGAGTCAAGTCAGCAGATTTGATCCACTGTGGTGAACTTTAGCCGCACTGTGGCTCAGTGACGACGGCGTCCACAATGAAGACACCGGGCGACACTGGTGAGTGTGTGTGAATGTGAACTTTTGTCCACTGTTGTCTGTCGTCGTGTCGACGCTGATGATTAATTAACAAAGGCAGATAACGATCGACCTCCGCTGGAGAAACAAAGCCGACTGATTGAAGCTGTGTTCCGGATCAGTGCGGTGCAGTCAGACTACTGTACCGGAGAGGAAGTGGTTTCAACTGGTGTACAGTTGTCAGTGTCACTGTGACGGTGACAACTGTACACCACTACAGAATAGTTGTCTTTACTCCGGTCTCTGTCCCTCGGTGGTCGACTGTGTTTTTACGTCAGTGTCAATCACTTTCCGCCCTTTTTCCCCACAACACCAACTTCGTAGTGACACCTAAGGAATCCAGAAGTGATCATTAAATAAAAAAAGAAATATGACAACCTTGAAAGACAGAGTTCCCTCCTCACCCCCCCCCCCCCCCCCCCCCCACACTAACCCACAGCAGGGTAAATAGAGTGGATGATTTGTCAACTCCAGTGCTGTGCAGTGGCAACAGGTCGAGCTGATAAATAAAAGTAATGAATCCAAGAATGTAGAATGTGAAATCCAATCCTGACCAGACCGATGATAAATCAGTGTTGAACTCCACTGACCGGACGGTCGTCCTGACGTGTCCGCAGTTTGGCCTCGGCCTAAACGTCGTCCTTGAAAATATTTGATGTTACCTCAACAGTCGTACACTTTATTTACGGCAGGAGTGACAGGGTGGAGGGAACCCGGCCCGGTCCGGTCCAGTAGAATGTTGAATTTCTGTTTTAACTACAGCTGGATTTAAATACCAGTAAAAAGTCACTAATATCCATTAATACCAGGACTTAGAAAATACATCTGTTCACGTAAAGAAATTTTAGATTTTTCTTTAACTACAGAAAAAAAACTAGTGTAGAAAATGTAGAAAATGCAGAAATATTTTTCATTCTGTTTTCATCATTGATGAAGATGATATTGAGTTGGAGTTAAAGATGGAGGTGAAGGTCTCCAGGAGTCAGACAGCAGTATTTGACATCTTCTGAACTTCAGGGGACTTGATTCAACCTCCTCTGGACACAGATGTGTGGGTGTGATGAAGAGTTAACCAGGTAGTTAAAGCTGAGCTGGTTAACGGTAGTAAACACTAACTAACATGAGGTCGCTGACCTCCACTGGTCAGGTACTTGACCTTTCAGCTTATTGGAGTGCAGATGTTTGGATGTAGTCCTGTCCTCTTCTCAGTCCTCCACGTTGTCTCACACAGTACCTCAGTGGACACACGTGTGTTTGATTCCTGACGTTTCCTCTTTGTTCAGTAACTGAGCCGGAACCGAACGCTGCCGTGGAGTTGGAGATAATTTAAAGCTAACGTGAGAACTTTGAAGATATTTTTATTCCCAGTCCAACTCTGGTCGGACTGAGAGGTTGAACTGCTCTCCAGAATAATCTGGAAGATTGACGAGAGAAGAGACTTTGAACAGAACCAGGCCAGGACTGCACTCTGTGTGTGTGTGTGTGTGTGTGTGTGTGACAGGCGGTCTTTTCCATTTGGGATGTTCCCCCTCCCCCCGCGGCCCCTGTTGCACCGGGCCTCGGCCCCTCAGCCCTCCACATTCCAGCGCACACACACACACCCACTTCTTTGCAGCAGCCTGGGGGAGACGGCCATGACATCACACCTCGTCCCACTACAGGCAGCTCTTTTATTGCACAGAAGTCCGAGTGTCGTAGTGGCAGCAGACAGCTACTGGTTTGACTGTGTTTGTTGTGTTGAGTAAAGCTGAAGAACAACGTTCATGGCCCATATGGTAGGATGCAGCCTTCTCTGTCTCCTTGTCAGTGGACCTTTCCTCTGCACCTCCTGTTCTCCACAGTCTCCTCATTAGCAGCAGCAGATGAGTTGGTGCTGAGGTGGAGAACTGATGAAGCAGGAAACAGTCAGGAAATACAGCTGTTGTTGTTGTTGTCCTTGTTGTTGTTGTTGTTGTTGTCCTGGTTAATCACTGCTTTACTGGAGTTGGGTCAACGTCCAGTTTACTGTCCTGTCCTTGGGTCTAACCTGGTGGACAGTGGTTTATCAGTCTGGAAAATTGGTTGTGGTCCCTCTACAGGTGTTAGTGTGTACTGCACGCAGAGATGGTGTGTCACAGCTGCTGACAAACACTGGTGTGATACTACAGTCACTGTGATACTGTGACACTACAGTCACTGTGATACTGTGATACTACAGTCACTGTGACACTGTGATACTACAGTCGCTGTGATACTACAGTCACTGTGATATTACAGTCACTGTGATACTACAGTCACTGTGATACTGTGACACTACAGTCACTGTGATACTGTGATACTACAGTCACTGTGACACTACAGTCACTGTGATACTGTGATACTACAGTCACTGTGACACTACAGTCACTGTGATACTACAGTCCCTGTGATACTGTGATACTACAGTCACTGTGATATTACAGTCACTGTGATACTACAGTCACTGTGACACTACAGTCACTGTGATACTGTGATACTACAGTCACTGTGACACTACAGTCACTGTGATACTACAGTCACTGTGACACTACAGTCACTGTGATACTGTGATACTACAGTCACTGTGACACTGTGATACTACAGTCACTGTGACACTACAGTCACTGTGATACTGTGATACTACAGTCACTGTGACACTGTGACACTACAGTCACTGTGATACTGTGATACTACAGTCACTGTGATATTACAGTCACTGTGATACTACAGTCACTGTGATACTTTCTGACAGGACTACTTTTATATTTAACCCCCTCTAGTGGTCCGCTCCATCAGGGACATCATTTTTCTTCCTCCACCTCTGTCACTCTCTCTGACAGGACAAGGACTGGTGTGTGTGTGTGTGTGTGTGTGTGTGTGTCTTTGTGTGATGGAATTGCATTGAGGCACCCCGGGCTGAGGAGTGGCCATTGTGTGTGTGTGTGTGTGTGTGCAGTGTGGAACAATGCTGGGAGTGGGGTAGATTCTGTGGCTGATTGTGTGTGAACTTGCGGGGCAGGGGACCTCTCATTGTCCTCAGGATGGTGTGGAGCGGCCCAGAGTTTGACAAGTGAAGAGACTCTGTCTCTGTGTGTGTGTGTGTGTGTGTGTGTTCATCTGCATGCACCAAACTTTTATCACCACTGAACGACACTGTTCAGTGAAGACTGTTGTCTTCTCACCATCAGGTCATGTGACGTCAGTGGTTTTAGTCTTTCTGTTCTTTAGAGAGAGAGAGAGAGAGAGAGAGAGAGAGGAGAATATGAACTGGACATTTACCTTCACTGGTGTGTGTGTGTGTGTGTGTGACACTGTAAATGCTCCTCAGTCTGTGATGGTCAGTCTTATCAGTCAGAGCTGTGTGGTGGTGCTGACCTCAGCAGAACCAGCAGATCCCAGTTCACTTTTACAGCCGTCTTTATAGAACAGCCCCCCCCCCCCCCCCCCACCCCCTCGTTCAGGGAGAACAGGTGAAGC